GAACATTTTTCTTAGCCTTTAGCTAAACATTTACTGAAATGTGGGTATTGCCATTTGTTTATTTTGAAAACAATGGAAAAATTATTAAGCAAAAGCTGAATTTCAACAAAGTGAATTGCAATCACTGTGGAATAAATACTTCTTTTTACCAAATCTATAATTTGCTAAAGTTGCTAAAAGAATTACTGTAAGGTTACTATTAAATATACCTTAATCCATCTAGCCAAAAAATTTAACTTCATAAAGTTATTAAACTAGTGATTAAGCTTAAAATGTCATTTTCTCCAGTCATTGCTTGTTGGCTTTTAATACAATTACAGTGTATACTACTTTCTTTGTAATGTACAAAATTGTAAAATGCTCTAATTCTTCATTAATTATTAACAGAAATATTCACCATGCTGTATTGGCTATTGTTTTAGGATCTCTACTTCTAGTCTCCTATTTTCAGGAATATGAAACTTGACAGTAAATAATTCTCAGAAGGCTGTTTCCAACAGTCTTCCTTGATATCAATGTAATAATAATGATAATGATAATAAAAACAGCTAACATTTATGTAGCACTTAATCTGTGCCAGGCCCTGTGTAAGCACTTTACAGTTATCTCTTTTGATCCTCACAACAACCCTGGGAGGTAAGTGCTATTATGATCCTCATTTTACAGATGAGGACACTGAGACAAATAGGGGTTAAGTGAAGTGCCCAGAGCCTGAGGTCAGAGTTGAACTCAGCTCTTCCTGACTTCTGCTCTGTCCATTGCACCATGTATTCCAAGGAGATATGTTTTAAGTTTATAATGCTTTTTTTCCCCACATTAAATGCATTAACACAAGGATTGACAACCTTTCAAAAGATGGATGCCAAGCTGCCTTTTTGTTGTGATAATACAGGGGCAAAGGACTTTGATGGCAGTGGCTTGGAGTAAGCAAGGGATACACAATAAATCTCTTTTGTTTAAAAAAAAACGTAAATAATCCCTGGAAATTTGAGTTTCTGTGTCACTTATACCTTAATATGAATTACTTTAATCAGTTAAATAACTCGATTGAATAGTTGTAATAGACTAGAGGAAGTTATTCTGGAGTACTAGGCACATTGCCTAGGGTGGGAATGGGGTAAGAAAGAGCTATGTGAGATGTAGGGGTGGTAATTTCAGAATGGGTTCAGAATGGTTCATAAAGAAGAGCCCATGGTCTAGAAGAAGGAGCATTGGATTTGGAGTCAGCAAACCAGAATGAAAATGACATTTATTAGCTTTTAGATTGTGAGCAAATCACTTTACCTTTCTGAGACACAGTTTCCTCATCGTTAAGTGCTGATAATAATAGTACCTACCTGACGTTGTGAGGACTAAATGACATAATGTATGTAAAATGTTTTGTAAATCTTAATGTGCTATGTAAATTAGATTATTATTTTTATTATCCTAGTTTTAGCACTGAGTAGCTGTGTGATCATGAGGAAGTCACTTAGCTTCTCTGAACCTCGTTTCTGCAGATGTAAAATGAGGATAATAAAATTCATACTACCTTCTTCAAAAGGTTTTGAAAAAAATTGTTAAACCTTAAACCCTTGTTAAATCATGAGTTATTATTGAGGGCACCAGAGAAAACTACTGTGCAGTTTTGCTGGTAATCTTGATGTGATATTCCTGATATATATTACTGATGCCTGTACTAATTTAAATAATTCACATGCATATAAATGCATAAAGGCACCTAGGTTGACAGTGTGGTAAGAGAGCTGGACTTGGAGTCAGTAAGACCTTAGTTTCCAAATCCTTCAATCCAGTCATCTGTATGACCCTGGGGAAGTCACTTAATGGCTCGTTCTGTTTCCTCCTTTGTAAATTGGGGATAATGATAGCACCTACGTCCCAGGTTTGCTGTGAAGTTTTACTGAGATAACATGTATAAAGTGCTTTGCAAACCTTAAAGCACTAAATAAGTAAATGCTAGTGATGATGATGATGATTAGTGATGATGATGGTGATGATGATAGAAAGCCAGTCTGGAAGCCAGGAAGGACCTTGGTTCAAGTCCTAGTTCTCCCTCTAACACAAACTGGCTTTGTGACTCTGGCCAAGTGTCTCAAACTCATAGTGCTCCAGGCAATTCTCTAAGATTATAAATTTCAAGGAAAGTGCTGTTCTGCATTGATAAAGGGAATTTCCTATGTTAGTCAATAAGTATTTATCAAGTGCCTGTTTTGTCCCAGGCATTATGCTAGGTGCTTATGATGCAAATGCACATACAAAGAATTAATCAATCCCTATTTGCAAGGAACTTACTGTTTAATGAGGAAGATAACAAGTATAGGAATGAGTATTAAAAGAAATATACATAAAAATAAATATGTGATCGTTTCATTCAGGAGAACACTAACAGTTGGGGGAGGGGCAGGAAATCACAGGTCTAATTCCTGTCCCCTAGAAATGCATAACCACATTTGAAAGCATGATTAATAAGCTATTATTTTTATGTTGGTTTATTAACCATTTTCCTTCTCATGCTGATCTTGTCACTCCTTTGCTCAGAAACTTGATTCAGAACTTTCTGAAATCCAAGCAGTCACTCTTCCTTTTCAGTCTTATCTAATGTTATTGGCCTCTCAGTAGTCTACACTTTATTCAAACTGGAAGGTCCCCTGAACATGCACAGCACCTTCACACTTTCATCTCTTTGTTCCCAGTGTTCTCTATCTCCCTTCTCATCATCATCTGTGGAATTCCTGCCCGTTTTTTTAAAGCCCAGGTCAAAGCCACCTCCTGCAGGAAGCCTCCCTTGATTATTTGCCTCCAGACTCCTACTCTTGGGTCAGGAATGGCCTCGACCTCATGTAACCATTTATTTTATTCCTCTCTAATTTTCTTGTTATAGATTATTGTAGTTATTAAAATAGTCTTATTATAGTCATAAATTTTGTAGTCATATATTAGTTCCATAGTCACATGAATTAAAAGGATTCACATGTAGTATATGTCTACATATATGGATATGTCACATAGTACATATCCATATATATAGTCATATATGATTGTAGTTACTTGTGTTTTTGTTTTATGTCCCTCCTAGACGAGGCTCTCTAAGAGCAAAGATTAGCTAAACTTTGAATAATATCCCCTTAGAGCTATGCACAGAACTCTACACACAGAAAGTAATATTTATTAGATGAATACTGAATGCCAATATAATAGATCCTACCAGTTAGGATGTTGTGAAATACAGAAATTTAAATATGAACAGTAAGAAATGATGTTTTAAATTTTGAGAAGCTATTTTAAGTCAGATAGTTATAACACCTTCCTCACAGCAAGGATGACACCTCATTTGTATAGTGCTTTCCAATTTTCAGACCATCACTCCATGTATTAGGAAATGTTTCTTGACATTCCTACCTCCTGGGACTCTGTGTGTGGCCAAAAAGATTGATGCACAACTTATATTCCTTTCCAGAATGATTGCATGAATTGTGCACAGGGATGAAAATATTTTTGTTCAAAAAGCACATATACCTAAAAGCAATTTTACCTAAAAGCAATCCCAGTCTCCCAAAAAAAAACAATTCCTGTTCAAAACTTTCACAGTCTCTCTTTCCTTTTTGTAACCTTTCTTTCAAGATTTCTTTTTAAATGATTGATGGTTAAAGATAAATTTCTATATATAGATAGAATCATATTTTGTGCCAACCACAGTAGCCAGGAAAGCAAGTGCTGTAGCTGACACCCTGAGAGCTTAATCTATTTTGTAGTTTGTATATGTGGAAGAAGAATGAGTCTGAGTTGGAAAAACAACTTAAACACTTGTGGAGTAGTGTTTGTTCATCAGAGATATTTTATTTGGTCTCATACAAATGGTAAGATAACCAAAAACATTGTACCCTCTTTTAAAGAGCTTTTCATCAGGATGTTGTTGAATGCGTGTGTTAGATGTATTACTTTCAGAAACAGATGCATTCAGGGATAGCTTTTGAATATAAATATTTTTACAGTAATTTCAGATTGGATAGAGTGGGTTTGGTACAATCAGCATGGTATGATCAAATTTGGAAGAAATTACAGATGCATTTTTGTAGCATTTTCTCCAGCATCTTGATTTTTTTCAGATGGAAGTATAACCATTTTATGTTCCCTCAAACTAATCAGAATAAGAAACTGATTTTGCCTTTGCCAGAAAAATAGAACTATCATTTTTCACATTCTTATATTTTCCAGGTCAGTTTCAAGTAAGATTATATTTCTAGGACTTCTGAATTCCTGAAAACTCTAGTCTCTGTAGCAGTAAAGGCTCAAGTGAGCATTTGGGGGTGGGAGGAATCTGTAACTTTTTATGCAGTATGTTTTGTGTTGTGCATTCCAGATACAGTTAACTTTTTGTGTGCGTGTGATTAGTGTGGAAAGAAATTAATGCAGTCCAGTATTATGATTTATGGACTGAATCCTTTGCCCACTGAAGACTTGCCAAAACTAAAAGTACTTTTTTTCCTTTGGATATTAGAAACAGCTACTGTTTTTGTTGATCTTTTTAACTTCTGAATAGGCCTATTTCAAGTCATACCAGCATGGGAGCTCAGATTAATAATATACTTATTCAACGAGTGATACAGAGTGAAACCATTGCTCATATGGGTATGAAGGATAAAATTTCATAAAATTATTTTCAGGTGCATTAATGCAATTTGGGAAACTGAGCGTCAAGATTTTTTTTGCATGAAAGAAATCAAAGATTTCTGTTTATTGTATCATGTTGCAGGTGTTCTCATAAGTTTAATCTAATTGCATTTTTTGGTGTCCTAAAACATAGGACATTTGGCTTTCGAATGCTATAATGTGTTTGCTGAATATCCCCAAAGGTTTTTCATTCTTGGTACATTTTGAAGTTAGAATTTGTCTTTCCTAAGACATCATGCCTGCTTTGTGTTTATCTGCAATTTTATCTTAACCTAATAAATAAAGCACTTATTGTAAAAGTAGATTTCACATTTCCCTCTTGTTTTTAGTTGCAGCAAGCGGCTGAGGTTTCACAGCTGCGAGGAGCCAGAGTGATTTCTGCTGAAGATCTTCTTTTTTTGATGCGCAAAGACAAGGTAAATACAAAAATGATCTTCTCTAAAGTATCCCTTCTAAAGGGAGGTTACCAATGGCAAAATAGAATGTTCTAGACCTTGTTATACCTGCAGTACAAAATGATCTTGTTGTTAGTTGCCTAATTTTTCTTTCATGAAGACTTCTGTCAAAACTGAATTGAGTTTTAATCATCTACTCACTTTTTCTTTAAAGTAATGTTTTCTCAGCACCAACTCAGGACTTCTTAGCATCTCTCAATGACCATGTTATCACTAGCTATAAGGACAATTTTTCTCATAATATTCTCATTCTCATTATTATCATTATTATTGATCCTCATAACAATTAGCTATATAATAAAAAATGCATTCCTTTGGTACTGATACACTGTCACCAAAATCGTGAAAAGCAAATCATCAGTAGTGAGTGTCTTGAGGGCTCAGATGTCTGTAGTATCATCTTTGCTGGTGTGACATACTGGAAAGACTGCTGAATTTATAGTCAAAGTACCTTGACTCAGCTCTTAGTGTTGCTATTGATCCTCTGTATGAGTTTGGACTTAGCTCTCTGATCCTCAATTTCCTTCTGTGTAAAGTGAGAGAGAGTTGGACTAGATGACATCTGAAGTCCCTCCCAGGTCAGAATCCGTGCTCTTATGATCTTAATTTTAATCTGTTAAAATAATTTTCTCATTTTTAATTATGATAATAAATTGTGTAAGCCTTGAATAATTTCAATATATACTCATGTGTGATTTTAATACTTTGAAATCAGCCTTTTACACAATTGACAGACTGAAAAAACCCTAGTGTTAATACTTCAAATAAAGCATTTTGTCTGAAAGACTGAAATATATGAATTCTTATTGAACAACCATAGTGCACTAAAATAGGTATCACCCTAATAAAAGAAATGTTTACCTTTTGGAGAAACCTGAGTCACTCCTTGTGTTTTTCCTAGGTTTTTTATTTTTTCCTTGTTCATCTCCTGTTCAGCAACCTTTTTGTGTGTAAGCCATCTTTCTTCCTTTCTTCTGTCAACATCTGACATTTATTTACATGGCATTTTAAGGTTCAGGTTATCAAACATTTATGTGCAAGGCATTCTACTTCCTCATAAGAACCCTGCAAGTTAGGGTCTTACCAGTGCAATTTCCCCCTTTTTACAGATCAGGAAAATGAGCTTCAGAGAAGTGAAGTGATTTGCACATGGCCACATAGCTAAAAAGTTTTAGAGACAAGATTCAGATCCAGATCTGTCCTAACTGTGAGTCCATCACTCTTTCTTCACTAAGCTGCCTCATTGGCCACTCTCTAAGTGAGCACCATTTCTCTCACCAAAGAAGAGCATCCAGAATCATGGTAACCATACCATGTCAAAGTCATGGCAAGTCATGAATACTTAATCAAAGAATACTTAATCCCAAGATTAATTGATTAATACAGAGATATTCCCCATCAAATGCCTTTCCCCACTTCTCATTATAATAAATCTTACAATCATGGTAAATTTCTCAAGACAATCAAACTTAGTTGCTACCAGAATACAAATCTACTTGTAGCATTAAATTTTTTTAAGGTCAGTGCATTCTGTAGAGTTGTGTTCTTCCACTGCCCAATTCACTTGCAAATAATGACATCAACTTCCTGATATCATGGTCCTCTTCGAGAACCAAGGACAAACAAGCTGTTAGAAGTAGTAGCTGCCTCACTGGGGACCCAACTGACCAGTTCCAGTTGGGCAACACAACTCTTTACTTCCTTCCTTCCTTCCTTCCTTCCTTCCTTCTTTTCACTCCCCCCCTCCCTCCTTTCCCTTTATCCAGATAGGGAATATAAATTTTGATTGCTGAAACCTCAAAAGATATCTTGGGGTTTGCTTTTTTATGGACCATGCCTTGGGGTTTCTTTTTTATGGACCATGCCTTAAACCCCAAATCAGTCTGGCTCTCATTGATGGCTAACAACAGGTCCCAGCCCAAGCCTCATTTGGTCATTGTTTAGGTTCTGATGGCTCAGAGTGAGCGTAAATAGCAGCTGTTTCTGTTTGGCCAGAAACCCTGAGGGAGTTCCCTTCTCGGATTGATTTTTTTTTTTACTAGGTAAATTCTTTGCCTCATTTTTTACCTAGGCTTAATCACTGAATGGTCATTACTTCATACAAACTGAGACCTGGTAAAGCCCTTAGCTTAAAAAGGCCCAGGACTCTCACTGCATCCTGGGCCATCTCCAGTCGTCCTGATCTATATCTTGCCACTGGACCTAGATAGCTCCAGAGTAGAGAAAGGTTGGCGACTTTGCATAGCCCTGTCTCACTTAAAGCCAATTCATTCACAAGTCATGACATCACCTTCCTGATATCACTGTATTTCTTGAAAAGTAAGGACAAACAACAACAGCAGACAGTGTCCTTCCACTGCCCAAGAAGAGTATACTGGTCTTCTGAGCAAAGAGGATCAAGGAGGGCTAGGATAGTGGCCAATCTTCTTATACTTCTTCTAGAAAGGACTAATGATGTCGGTACCTCTGGAATCCTCTCTTCATGCTCCATGCCTTGAGGAAAGATCTCCAAACATGTATAACATTCCTTCCTTCTACTTTAAAAATCTTCACCACCATGGTATAAGTTGTTGGAATTGTATAGCTCTTCACAACTCAGAATAGTGGAGCAACTGCTTTATGCCACGTCCATGCCAAAGGACCTAAAATCTGCTGCCATATCTCTTTTATTAAGCAGGAGGCCACAACATCATCCGGGCTTCATTGGATCATAAAAGGAACAATGGATGTGAAAACCATGAATTCTCATCCCATTTCTCACTAGTCAGACACATCACTTAAACCTCCAGGAGGCTTTTTTTTTTTTTTTGTTCCCTCACGTGAGAAAACTGGACTAGTAATAATACCTGCCCTTCTCCTAGGAATGTTATAAGAATTGTTTAAGGTAATATGTATGAAAGCATTTTGTAAATTCTAAAGCATTATGCATTTTAACATTGACTGTCGTCAACAGAAGTCCCTACATAGTCAAGCAGGGATTTCTGGGTGCCAAAGATGATGCTTCTAAAACCACACACAGGGTGACTGTGCCTTGCACTGAGACAGTAGATGACAAGTGATAATAGATCCAAAAGAAGACCATTAGTTTACCAACCTAAACCAAGAAAATGCTACATAGGTATAGCCCAAGATTTTCCACACTGACATACAGAGCTGTGTAGTTTTTACTACATTTTCCTTTTTGGTAGATATATTCTCTAAATGACCAAGAAAAATGGATTCAAGAAGGCTAGCATTTTCTTCTCAGGGATTTTTATTTTTAATATGTAAAGTGAAAGGACTGAAAGTTCGTGTAACATATTCTTTAAGTTTGCATATGTCTATGTAGATCAAAAATATGTTTCAAGTAAAATTATTACCAGCCTGTTGTCATGTCACAATTTTAGTTTGTATTGTTTTTTCTCCTGTTCCTTCTCACAGAATATACTCCTTCTAACAAAAAAGTATGAGAGTACTCCAGTGTTCTCCCCTATGTGGGTATATCCTCCAATGATGCAGCTTGTATTCCACCCATGCCTATTCATCTATGTGATTCCTGTCCATGTTCCCCCATTACTTCATCAGAGGGAATCTATTCAGCATACCAGAACAAGACCTCCTCTATTTCTCTTTATTTACCTAGTGAAGCTCACGGATTGTCCATTGGTTGTCCTTTCATTCTTACACTGTGACCAGCCCATCTTTGCCAGTCTTACATTTCTTTGATGATATGCTATTTTTCCTATCTGATCTTGTTTGTAATGTGTAACAACCTGTTTACACTCACCACACCCCTCTCCCCAGCCCTTTTAGGGTCTATGATTCTAACCAGGTATCATCAACTAGAATCTTTTCTAAGATACAGTTATAGGAGAAAAAGAACAAAAAAAAATCCTAAGTTAAAAATAGTGGTTAAAGACGGTTTTTCTAGGAAATTCTTAGACTGTTTTTATAAGTAATTGCCTTGAACCATAGAGGTACAGGCAGGAACAGAAAGAAAAATTCCCAATTTGTTCTATAGAATTCATTAATAATAAAGTATTCTTTCCTTATGTGAGGTTCTTAAACAGGGGCTACATGATTACTTCTCAGGTAAATTATAGAAGGAATCTTTTTGGGGGGGTAGATATTGGACTAGATGGGCCCTAAGATTTCTTACATATCTGAAATTCTGTAGTTCTACATATCTAATTTATGTCTATAACGTATAATGTAGTAATATTCCATTACGTACATGTACCACAATTTGTTTAGGCATTCTCTTATTGATAGAAATCCAATTCATTTCCATTCTTTGCTGCCACAAAAATATAAATATTTTGTTGTATATTTGGCCTTTGTTCTTATCAATTACTTGCTTGGGGTATAAGCCTAAAAATGGAATCTCTGGATCAAAAGAGGACAAACATTTTAGTCAATTTATTTGCATAATTTCAAATTGTTTTCCAAAGTGGTTGTGCTGATTCACAGTTCCACCAATAATACACTTGTGTGTCTATATTCCACAAGCCCCCCCCCACATTTATTATTCCCATCTTTTGTCATCTTTGCCAGTTTTTAGGGTGCAAGGTGAAACCTCAGGGTTGTTTTGAATTGCATTTTTCTTATTATTAGTGATATGGAGCATTCGTTAATATGGTTCTTAATAGTTTGTAATTCTTTTCTTCATATCCTTTGTTTATCTATTGGGGACTTGCTTTTGGGTAGAGACATATATATATATGTATATGTATATGTACATGTATGTTAATTGTTTATATATTTTGATACCAACCCTTGTCAGAGAAATTTGATATAATAGTGTTTTTTTCCCCCATTTGATCACTTTCCTTCTTATCCTTAGGTACATTTTCTTTGTATAGAATCTTTTCAGTTTCATATAATAAAAGTTATTTGTTTTATCTTTTCGAATTGCCTCTATTCCTTGTTTGGTTAAGAATACATCTCTTACTTATAGCTATGAAAAGTATATGATCTGTTTCTCTTCTAATTTTTTATAGTACAATCTTTAATATAATATTAAGGTCATGAATCTCATTAGAATATGTTATGGAATATGGCAAGGTGTTGAGCCAAGCATAATTTCTTCCAACCTGCTTTCTAATTTTTCCAGCATTTTTTTTTTATCAAACAGGAAGTTCTTTCCTAAGTAATTTATGTTTTCTGGGCTTATCAAACACTGGATTATTGAGTTACATTGTTTTAGATTCTCCTTTGTCTAGTTGTTTCATTATCTACCTCTCTTTTTAAACCAATACCAGATGGTTTTGATGACTGTTGCTTTATAATATATTTTGAGATCTAGAAGCACTATATACTGGAAGTGAAGTCTCCTTTATCCTCATCTCTTTTCATTATTTCTCTTGGTATTTTTGATCTTTAATTTTTCCAAATTGATTTCATTATTTCATTGAGTTCTATAAAGTGTCCCTTTGATAATTTGATTGGTATAACATTAAAACTAAATTAATGTTGTTGTTTTTATTATGTTGGTATGGCCCAGCCATGAGCACTAATTATTCTTACAGATTTTTAAGTTGTTCTTCATTTCTTTAAGGAGCACTTTATAATTGAATCTATATAAGTATTTTGTGTGCTTTAATAGCTTGAGTCCCACATATTTTATCCATTTTGTAGTTATCTAGAGTGAGATTTCCCGTTCTATTATTGCTTCTTTGATTTTATTACTATATAGAAATGATATTGATTTGGGGGAGGTTATAACTTGTAATTTTGCTGAACTTATTGTCTCAAATTGTATCTGGTATTTTCTAAGTAAACCATCATATCATTAACACTTAAGGATAGATGAAATTTTAATGGTTATTTTGTGTCCTTTTACATTATGTATGATGAGTCAGACACATTACTGTAAATGATTATTACATGCAGGTTCATTAATTGTATTTATCTTAATAATCTTAATAGTTTTTGCTAGCATTTCATTTTCTTATATATGTACCAAACATATTGCACATAACAGGCACGTAATAATTATTTTAGTTGAATTAGTTTATAATCATTAATATAATACTTTGTGTAATCTTTCCTAATTGGTTTATATTTTTCTTTAATAGAAAAAGCTTAAAAGACTGCTGAAATATATGTTTTTCCGAGATTACAAATCTAAGATTGTCAAAGGTATAGAGGAGGATGATCTTTTGGAAGGTAATTATATACACATCTTATGTATGCATGCACATATATACCATACACACATATATACATATATATACACATATACACATATAATAATGGTAATAATAGCTGACATTTAATTGTTCTTTATAGTTTCAGTGTTTTATATACATTATCTCATTTGATTAATTTCTGCATATGTATTTGAATATATACATTATATACTATAAATATAATGTGTATGTGATTTATATATGTATGTACTTTAAGATATTATACTTTAAGAACCTTCAAAATACTGACTTAGCAGTTTAAACTTAATATTTTCTGATTAAGTGACTTCAGAAATGGAAATATTTCTATTCTTCCTATAAATGATAAGTGAACTGCTTAGTCTCAGAAATTTGTGGAACTAGGAAATTGGTGTTTATTGAAAGGATAATTGATTTCAGTATGTATAATGCTAATGTGGCATCTGTGATGAACAAAAATGTGTATATGTCAGCCTTTGAATTCATTTGAATAGACATTTGTTAAGTTATTACCAATGATACTGGACATATTTTATGAAATAACTGGAATCTAAAGTCACTTCATTCTGATGTCTGACTGTTATACTCTTCCAGTGCTATTTGAAGTTTTAAAGGGATACATAAGGTATAATTTTTTAAATTTACCTTTCTTCCTACTAACTCAATTCCATTTTAAAGAACAATTTAGAATTAGTTAACAGTGGAAAATCAAACGGACAGAATCTGGAGTCTGACCATCTGAATTTAAGTCTTGGCTCCACTATTTACTACCAACATGACCTTAACTCTTAGATATTTCTGGGGAACACTTTTAGATGCCGCATTTAGGTTCACTTGACTTTTTCTTGGTTTTATTGAACTACTGAAGGAGTAAATGTGTTGTCAAAATATTAAAATGACATTTTTTGTACAAACTTAAAAATCATTATTTTAAAATTTTGGTGTAAAGGGACTTTGCCCTAACCTGATTACAGTTCTGACTGTGACTTCAAATCTCATGCTCCTTCTACTATATAATGTTTCCTTCTCTGGGTCTCAGTTTCCTCATCTGTAAAATAAAGAGATGAGATTCAACTATCTTTAAGATCCCTTTCATCTAACATACTATGATTCTCTAAGTTTAATCATTTGAAAGTATATATATATATATATACACACACATATATATGTATATATATGTATGTTTGTGTGTGTATATATATATACACACACATATCTAATAGACATGTTTCTAATTATAACAGTTATAAAAGTCATCTTAGTATTATAGATTTAAAGCTTGAAGGGATCTTACAGGTTATCTAGTTGGAGGATCATGAATATATAGCTGGAAGGCACCAGAGACTAAAAGGCATTTAGTCCAATTCTCTTATATCACAGATGAGGAAATGGGGGGGGGGGGCAGTGAGAAAGCTCACCCCCTATCACAGAGCTATTAATGACTGGGGAGACAGGACAGACCTCTAGTACTAGCACTAGAACCAGATCTTCTGATTCCTAAGTCTAAGATGTTTTCCGTTATACTATATTTCTCCATATCTGTTTTACTAATTTTAGTATAAAGGCAGAAATTATTTCATACTGTCATGATTCTCTTGTTTATAGGCTTCCATTTACTTATCAATCCTCAAATTTTCTTTCAGTTAGGTAAGATTGTATAATCAACCCTTCCATCAAGGATATATATGTGTGTATGTATGTATGTATGTATTTTATATATATATATCAAAGAGAAGTTGTAAAAATTATCAATTAAGTAATTAGCCTTGATAAAGATATTTAGGTTTTGAGCAATTCTTAGCTTTCTTATTAAACTGACATAATTCGTGAGGAATTATTTCTTTATTGAGCCAAGTCGAATATCAGGTAGCAAAATTATGTCATGTAAATTAACAGTTTTGAAAATGATTAGATTATCTCATACTCTGAGAGAAATAATTTCCTAGCAACCTTTGCTTCATAAAACTAATTTTTCTTTAGCTACAAGGTCATTCTTTTTTGTTTTCATTTTGTTATTGAATAATTTATTTTTAGAAGGTATATTTTTAATTAGATTTTATTGATGTCTTTTGTCTTTACATCAGTCATTTCTCCTCCCTCCCCATTCAGAAGGAATTCCACCTTGTCACTTAAGAAAAAAAAAACAAAACACCTTAAAGATATCTATATCTGACAATGTATTCAGTATTCTGTTCTATTTCCCCACCTTTTTGCTATGAGGGACAATCATTCAATGTTCAACTTCCTTTAAAAAGTAGATTTTTTGAGCAGCCATAGGTAGAAAATTCCTTAACAAAGGTGTACTCTTTCGCCCACACCCTCCACTAAATAACATGATGGAAACAATACCTTATTTATATAACACATAAAGTACTCTTTCCATGATTCTGGGACTCACCTGCTTCTAAGAGTCTCCCAACGTGTCAGCTCAAGCTGTCTGGAACCTTTGAAGCAGGCAACCAATGGATCTCCAAGTGACCTTCTCACTAAAATGCAGTTATTTCATCCTCCTCTCCCTCTTTTCCAGTGTGCTCCATCATTTACATTGGCTACTAGTTATCTCAATATCCTTTGTTTTTGAAAATTTGTGCCATAACCAGTCTCAGATAAATCAATGTATTTCTTTCTCGAGAAACTATGTAGGAAACTCTCATTCAGTTGAACTGCACCAATTTGGAGACCATGATCATTTAAACATGAAGGAGGGTAGTGCTAAGTCTGGCATTTCAGTGCTAATCATTCTATTAAATGGAGAGGGAAGGAAATTTTGAACCAGTTAATAGAGTAAAAAAGACATGAGAATTATTAATTTATTTAAGAAAACTTCTTTTAATGGCATCTTTTGCATATTAAAAGATTAGTATGCCAATCAAAAGTCACCTTTGTCTATTCATTCTAACCAAATATTTAATCTCTCTGATAGGCAATATTTTGTTAGCCATTGTTTTGTGTAATAATACATACTTGGAAATAATAACTGCTTCCTTTACCCTACCCTACCCTCCTTTCCTCTTCACCTTCTCCTATCCTCTACCATTCTCTCCTTTTCCTTTCCTTCCTTTCCCTTCTCTTTCCCCTCCCTTCTGCTCTCCTCTTCCCCCAATTCCTGTGTCTTGTCCCAGACTGCAAGCACAGCCATCACTGATCAGCCATTGATTGGCCCAGTCTCACAGCTAATCAACATAGAAGCTTTAACCTGCTCTGTTTTTCTAATCTGAGTCAGTTGGCCACTCCTTACGCATCCTGGTGGCCTACTGGTACCCAATACATTGGTGCCAGATTTAGTATAGATATCTGATTGTCTTTAGCCCTACTGTAGGTCAGAACTCCCAAGCTCAAACAATCCACCAGCTTTAGTTTCCTCAGCAAGGAATGAAGGAGCGCAGGGTGGAGGGAGGGAAATAAGTAATTATGTAATGTCTACTCTGCTTAGCACTTTTTACAAATACTATCTCATTTGATCCTCACAACAACGTATGAGGTGGGTGCTATTATTATCATCATTATACAAACAGAGGTTAAGTGACTTGCTCAGGGTTACTCAGCTAGAAAGTGTCTGAGGCTGGATTTGAACTCAGATCTTCCTAACTCTAGGCCCATTGTTCTGTCCACTAAACCACCTAGCTGCCCAGATGCCTGTAGCAGGACCCCAGACATATACCACCATGTTTCTTTCTCCACTCAATCCCACCTCACCTCCAACCCCCATAGCCTACCTTTTAAAAATAATTCTGATATATAATCTTAGGACTTTGGGCCTTAAAGGGACCTTAGAGGTCATCTCACCAAACACCCTTCTTTTACAGTAGAAAAAATAGAAGTCCAGACAGATGTTATGACTTACCTAAGGGTCATATTATTTAGTAACAGACTAGCGATGGAAGATGTTTAGGTATCCGGTATTCTTCTGACTTCTAGTTCTATGTTCTTTCTATTCCCATTCATTTATATTAGTTTTTCTGTTAATTAACCTGACATTCCAGTAAGATAAAAGTTTCTTGAGGGTTGAGACTAGTCCTATTTTTAATGTCCCTAGAATAGTGTTTTGTGCACAACAAATGCTTAATAAATGTTTTTTAATCAAATTGAATTATTTAGAACTAGTAAAATAAAATGTAGCTGGATTCCCTTCCAATTTCTTACAAGTGTTCTTTGTCCTCTGTAAAATAACTGTTTTTTTTTTTTTTTCAGTCATGTCTGCATGAACCCATTTGGGCTTTTCTTGGCAAAGAAAAATACTGGAGTGGTGTGCCATTCCCAGCTCATTTTACAGATGAGGAAACTGAGATAAACAGGGTAAAGTGATGTGCCCAGGGTCACACAGCTAGGAAGTATCTGAGGCCAGATTTGAACTTAAGTTTTCCTGACTCCAGGCCTGGTGTTCTATTCATTGCATCACCCAGGTACCCCTTAAAATAAATTATATGCATACAAAGCTTCCCCTTGCTACAGGTTTTATCCCTTTTAATTTACCCAGGAGCTCTTGTTCCTCTCATACCCTTACAATTTTTAACATCCTTTCTCTTCTAGAGTATAGATCTATTATAGACTGAGTAGAGATAGATCCATTGTTGATTCTCCTCTAAACCTACCACATTAAGTTTTTTTTTCTAATTGTCACCACTTATAAGTTAGGTATATGGTGAATCTTGTAATTTAGAAGTCTTACAGAGAGATATTAAATATATACAAACTAACCTCTGATCTCAGTATTTAAGGTAAAGATTGTCCACTTATTAACTTTTTATTACTGAATAATGGAATCTTAGAGCAGAAAGGAACCTTAGAGATTACGGAGTTCAGTCCCCTTCTTCAAGCCCCACCTGACTTATTATTTTATAAAATATTAACAGTACAACACATGGAAGTGATATGAGCCAGTCTTTATGATAAATGCATCCTTGGGTGATGCCATTGGAAAAACTGAAGAAGATTAGAAATGCAGGATTATCTTTTTCTCTGCATATGTGACTTCTTTTAACTTTGAAGCAAAACAGGTCAGATCTTCTTTTCAGTTTAAAAAACAATTCACGAATCTGGTGAATGCCAATAATTTTTGAACACCAGATATAACAGACCTCACATATATCAGCCATGGACAGAAATTTTAAAAATATGTTTGAATGAATGAATTTATTCCAGATCACAGTTGGATCAGTCATGGATTTACATTATGAAGGAAAAAATACCAGACTTAGTTTAAGGAAAAATTAGGGACCTAATCTTACCCCAGACTAACTTTGTGACCACTGGGGCAATTCACTTAGCCTCTCAGAAACTCGGTTTCCTCATTTACAAAATAGGAATGTTACTTGTCATTTCCCCAACACATGGTTGTTATGAGGAGAGTGATTTATTAATCATTAAGGTGCACTTTAAATGCTACCTATTATTCTTTTTTAACTCACACAAGAGTAGATTTGGAAAGGCTTCCTTAGAAATCATCTTCCCTTATCTTACAGATTTTGGGTATCCTTTTTAATCCTGGACACTTAGTAAGTAGAAGACCACCTTTTCCTTAGTATTAATATTATCTTTGCCCAGCCAGAAAACAAGTTTAGCACAATCATAAATTTTAATGTATCTCTTTTTTTCAAGTTTTTGCCACATTCATTTAATTTCTGCCTACATTGCTGCTTTCTGGAGCAGCAGAAAAGAGTTAAGAAAGAGCAAAGTCCAAATGATGGTTTTCACTAATTTCCTCAGTTGTGAGGCCTGAAGTGGGCTTCAATTTCCTCATCTGTAAAATGAAAGGACCCAGTGTAGGGAATTGGTGGGACACAACTCTCAGAGGTCTCTTCTAATTCGACATCTATGATCCAATGACCCTGAGCCTTAAAACCAGTGAAATGTTACAGAACTGACTGTGCTACCCTACTTGGATTAGACAGATCAAATCTGAAGATAGGCAGGGCTACATTTTGCATTACCTCCATGTTCATGTAGATTCTTCATCTATATACAGGCTCACAGGGAGCTTTACTAGTAAAGACTTTTCTATAGGTAAGAACTGAGCTTTACATTTGGACAAAATAATAACAGCAACAACAACAAAAGAAAAAAAAAACAAGGAGCAAAGTGTTCTGCAGACTTATGCAATTAATACTTTTCATATCCCCGTAAGGTAAATAGGTAGCAGGTCATGTTGTCACCATTTTGTAGACGAGAACTCAACACACTCACTGATTTTTTCCAAGGTAAGAGTGTAAAACAAGAAACGAAGCCAGTGCTTTTGATTCCTGTTCACTGATTTAGGAGAAAGACAAGAGCATTCTCCTTTGTAAAATTCATTTGATTCAGTTCCAAGAGGATTATGTACAGATTCCATATGGAATAATTGATTTTGTTTTTCAGAGTTGCTGACAAAATTATCTTTGTTTTCTTTTCTTATCTACATGAAGACAAATTCAGCAGCAGTAGCAATGTCAACAAAAGGCAGAAAATAGCCCAAGACTTCCTCCACTCTATCGATCAGACAGGAGAACTCTTGGCTATGTTTGAAGATGATGAGATTGATGACATTAAGCAAGAAAGAATGGAGGTACAGTGTTTTCTCTTTTCTTCCCTCCTTATATCCAGCCTATTATAGTATGTGTATTGATAGGCCTAATGTTGAGCCAGAAATTGATTGTTTACATTCATTCTTTTTTGTTTGCTTTCTCTTCTTTCTTCCTCTACCCCTGTTCTTCTTTATTTCTTCTTACCCTCCTTTTCACTGATTTCTTTCATCATCTTTGTATTGTCATTAATTTTCCATATGCCATCCTGAAGGAAAAATAATGATCTCCCTTTGCTTAACTTCTTCAAAGCAAAGAATTGCATCCAAGAGAATTTAAAATGTATTTTATCAACTACTGCCTATGTTCCTTTCTTGTGTGCATATGAGTAACGTGGCTAGCTCTGTTTTTAGTTAGTAGAATATTTCTAACTACTCTTAGCAGATAGATAGACAGATGGATAGATAGATAGATAGATAGGTAGATAGGATAGATGGTTGTGTAGGCCTTCCCCTTTCAATGCGTAGACATTTCTCCTCCTCACACATCCATTCATGTTTGTTCCCATAGCATGGTTGAAGATTTACAAAGTCTTATGTATATGCATATACAGACTTAGAAGTACTGAGATTGTCTCTGTTTTTCCTTGATACTTCTATTTTGCTCATATCTTATTTTTAGATTGCATCGAAAAAAATCTTCCTGTTTCCTTTTTCATCCCATTATGATCTTTCTTGCCCTTACAGTATGAGTTATCTCAGTCTAGCTTTCTCTCATTTGTTATTTTCTTCTGTTATTCTTGCTACTCCTCAATCCTCTTTTCATTTATAGTCTTCATCTATCTTTTCATCCAACCTATGATCTGCTTATGTTTACTTCTCACTTTATCTTTTCCCTTTTCACTCTTTTTTTCTTATTTTTTCTCTAAGTCATTCTTTCACATTTTCCTAGATGAAAAATAATTGCATTTTTATCTTGCTTTAATCATAGAAGACATCTCCTGTTGATCTTGAAGAAAAGATTTCTTATATCAATGTCCTTTTTGTTAATCAAACAAGTTTATTCATTTTTTCCTTTAAAAAAACAGATATTATGTAAAAGGTAATGTAAAGATGTCATAAAATATTAGAGCTGGACAGGGACTTTCCATTTCCCTACCCCACCCTCATTTTGTAAATGATGCAACTGAGGTTTAGAAAAATAAAATGATTTACCTATGGGAATACAGAAAGAAAATGGTGAGCCCAGGACTTATGGCTTCCATCCTGTTCTTTTTCTTAGAAAAATGTACTGACTCTCTTGTCACTGTGAATAGTCTGCATTGTGGTTCATTAATGACCATTTTTTAAATGTACATCTTCTTTTTTAACCTAATAATTTAAAAAAACACACACAAAGATGAATTTGATCACTTTAGGTATAGGTGTATATCGTGAAAAAAATAATTTTCAGGTAGAGTTTGAAATTATGCGCTCAGCCATCTTTCTCTGCTTTATATGTTGTATATTGCTGTAATTCCAAGTTAGTGATAGCTATTTGCTAACAGCAATTCTAGATATCAGCGTGTCTACAGAACTAAAGGCTCGATTCTGTCCTCATAATGGCTGGGCATCTGTTGCTCAGTTTCCTCAGCTATAAAATTGACTGATACTATTCCTTTTCTTTATCCCAGGGGAATTTCATCATGATTAATTTTGTTGGCACATCTCACAGATATAAGACATATTCGTTCTTATTGCTATTATTATAATTTTGCCTTCAAGAAATCACTGATTTTGTCCTGCTTTTTAAGTGGGAAAACAAGGTAATGCCAGCCCCCCAAAAGATGGTTGGCTATTGTGTTAAGTTGCCTACTTTATCATAGTTTCTCTGTGCAGTAGAATATAATTATCCCATGTTAAGTTTTGGAGGAAGTCCAATAGACATACATGCTTTATAAACTTTAACAACCTTCTTTAAAGAATTAGTATGCTTAGATCATGAACTGTGATCTAAAGGCAGTGTTCCTTTTAGGTATCAATTACCTCAGAAATGTGTGGTTATCTTGGTTTTGGACAACTGCAAATGGTTTTAGTTCCACTTTGCCTTGGGCCAAAAACATGCTAAGTTGTCCAAAGCAGATGATAAACACATATTTCTGATGTCATTATGTCCTAAACAGGATATGATTGTTTAGTGGCATGGTTTCATTTGTGATGCATTATCCAGAAAGAAAATATTGTTTATGCTTTATTTTTAAAACATTTTTTTAAAATTATATTTTCAAGCCAGCAAAATGTGTTGTGAGCTTCCGCACTATTTTGCATTTGTTTTTCACTGCCGAGTATTGAGGAATGTTTAGCAAATACTTGTGAGCATTAGTGAAATTGAACAAATAGCTGTTCAGGTTTGTCTGGAAAATCTCTATTAACTAAGCCCATTGCCTGGAAAGGCATTCCACCATAGTCAGAGGAAGAACAGAACCTGAGAGCCCCTTAGCAAACACTGAACTCCTGATAATGGGATGCTATTACTCTGGAAAGTGATGAGTCAACAAGGTGCCAGTGAACTCACAGCAGTGCTCAGATTTACCGGGTAGACCACAAATGCACATGTAAGGTTCTTTGCCTTGGTGTACAGTTAATGCATGCATGTACATGCGCACACGCGCGCGCACACACACACACACACACACACACACACAGTGTGGACAGGGTAACCACCATATTCATGGCCATCTTCAGTAGTTGGAAAACTAATTCAGCTCAAGGAAGGCCATGCAAATTAGATTAGTCATTTCATGAAACTTTGCTTTCTTATTTTATGAGCCTTTCTTGACTGGATAACAAAGAATAGCCTTGAGATGCTCCTTGTCCAAATAACAAACACTGTAGCTGGGAGGGTGGGGGTAGGGCAAGGCTGAACTTGTAGACAAAACTTGACTGTAGACAGTAGAAAGTGGAACCGTTAAAGGCCTAAGACATTGCCTGCTTCTAATTTGACAGGTTACAGTTTCAAGAGTAAACCACAACTGTGGCTGTCCATATGAAACCACTTTGGGCTCATAGACGGCAGCCTTTTGCTTTTAAAGTGCAGTAGAATAATCAGTTCTGGCATCACTCAGTGATTTAATTTTCCTTTAAGCATCACTTATGGTTGAAGAAACTTTGTTTACTACATTCTCCCCTAGACTGCATGAACACAGTACAGATCTGCAAACAGAGCTTATTTCTGTTTTATTTTTCTCTTTTTTTGCTCTTTTATGATAGAATTTAGAAGAGGAAAAAATTGCTGTAGAAGTAAAAACTCTCAAGAGATCCTAGATTTTGCAAAGGTTTAGTGAAGACATGCTGAACCAACTAAGTCTTCTCTATTTCTCTCTGTAGCTTTATATGAAGGATGGATTTTCTGTGTGCTCCTCATAATTTACTTTATTACTTTACTAAGCTTTCAGTATTAAATGCCAGATGACTTTAGGTATAAGTAAGATTTATTAATTTTCATTCAACAAACATTTATTTGTGCAGTATACTATTTTAGGCACTGGGAAAACTTAGAGTCTAATAAAGGAGATTATAGATACCTACAAATAAAGTACAAAATAGAATATAAATGATAAATATATGAGAGATCCGAGGAGAGGAAGTCAACTTCAGGCTGAGAAGATTAGGCTTCCATATATGTTGTTGCCCTCATTAGAATGTGAGCTCTTTGAGAGCAGGGACTGTCTCATTTTTCTATTTATACTCTCAGAACTTAGCAAGTGCTTTGTCAATAGTAAGCACTGAGTAAATGCTTTATTCATTCATGGATAGGAAAAGGTGAAGCTATCATAAAGGATAGATAAGGTTTCATCAGCTAGAGTTGGTTTTTTGAATGTGTATCCTTATCAGTAAAAGTTTTTTGATCATATACCTCCTCAATATATGTATACATGTTTGTATACATTGTAATTATTTATAAAATATATATATATGCTACTAAACCACTATTCTTTCTATATTATAAACCTTACAAAAATATAAATTTTTCAAAAAGAAAACTGAAATAAGATTTTAAAAAGAATTATTCATTTGTTAATGGTACAAAAAATTTGCTGACTAAAATTATTAATAATACTGTTTTAGTGAGAATAATATAACTATACTTTATTATTTTTAAAATCTTGATTCAGTACTCAGTGATAGTCTAGTTCTAAATTCAATTTATTTTTATACTAGTTTTAATTGTTGTCATGGCTGAAAAAAGGACCTCTCAAAGAGATGTAGATTTCCAATGAAAGAAGTAATTACTAAATTATGATACTTATTTTTCAAATCCATCTATCAAGTCTGCAAAAAGTTTTTGTTGAATTTGAGTTGGTAAATTTCCACCTTCCTTGGTATCAACCAGTTCTTCTCACAAGTTAAACCAGTCAAAAATTGTGTTACTAGTTTTGGGTTTTTTTTAAAGGATAAAGATATGGAAGTTTTTATAGGTGGCCCACTTTATTTTAAGGAAAAAAAGAAGTGATGGCTTTTAAGAAAAAAAAAATGTTATTATTGCCTATTATCTGAAGGCATAGTGTGCACTAAGGGCAATAGTGGAACATATTTCAAGTAGTTGTGACAATTTCAGGGTTTTGTTGTTGTTTTTGCTTCCCTTGGCAGTGATTAGACTGTCATTGTTTTTGTCTAGTAATGTGGCTGATGAAGAGCTTGTTCTGGGAATGTCTCCCTGCCACAAGTCTCTCCCCACTCCAGTCTGTCCACCACTCATATATCAAAGCAATCTCTCTAATGTGTAGAACTGACCGTGTCATGCTCTATTCAGCAGATTACAGTGGCTCTTAACATCCAGGATCAAATATAAATCCTATGTTTGGTTTTCAAGCTGTTCATAACTTCACCCCTTCTTACACCTAACTCCCCTCCCAATCTGGTGACACCAGTCTTCTGGCATTGCCTAGCACAAGATCCTCCATCTCCAGACTCCAAGCATTTTCACTGTCTGTCCTTCATGCTTGGAATGCTCTCCCTCCTTATTTCTGCCTCCTTGCTTTCCTCTGAAATAATCTTCAATTGTT